CCCCCAGTCCCCCCCCCTCCCTTCCAGTGCCTCCCAATCCCCTCCGAATCCCTTCCCAATCCATCCCAGTTCCTCCCTGTCTCCTCCCAGTCCCACCCAGTCCCTCCCAGTCCCTTCCAGTGCCTCCAAACCCCCTCCCAATCCCTTCCCAGTCCTTCCCAGACCCGCCAAATGCCCTCACAGTTCCTCCCATTCCCTCTCAATCCCCTCCCAGTTCCATCCCAGTCTCTCCTAGTCCATCCCAGTCCCTCCCAATTCCCTCCCAGTCCCTCCCAGTCCCTCCCAATCCCTCCCACTCCCTCCCAGTCCCTCCCAATCCCTTCCCAGTCCTTCCCATTCCCGCCCAGTCCCTACCAATCCACTCCCAGTCCCTACCAATCCCTCCCAATCCCCTTCCACTCCCTCCCCATCCCCTCGCAGTCCCTCCCAGTTCCTCCCAGTCTCACCAGTAAGGGTGTAGATGGCCGTTACCCCCAGCAGAGCTCCCACGGACGCGTAGAGGTCCCAGCCCAAAGCTTCGCGGATAAATATGGCACCCGAGTACATGTCCACCTGGGACTCCAGTATGGACCAGTAACCATCCCCGAAGCCCATCAGCACCTCCCAGTATGGACCAGTAACCATCAGAGTCCACAGAGACCTCCCAGAGTCCATAGGGACCTCCCAGTATGGACCAGTAATCCCCAGAGTCCATAGAGACCTCCCAGGCTTCATTGGGACCTCCCAGTATGGACCAGTAACCACACAGGGTCAGTAGGGATCTCCCAGAGTCCATAGGGACTCCCAATACGGATCAGTAACCCCCAGAATCCATAGAAACCTCCCAAGGCTCCATTGGGACCCCCCAGTATGGACTAGTAACCACGTCCAGGCTCCACTGGGACTTCCCAGTATGGACCAGTAACCCCCAGAACCCACAGAGACCTCCCAGGGCCTATAGAGACCTCCCAAGGCTCCATTGAGATCTCCCAGTATGAACCATTAACCCCCCAGACTCCATAGGCACCTCTGAGTATGGCCCAGTAACCATCCCCAGGCTCCAGTGGGACTTCCCAGTATGGACCAGTAAACCCCTTGAGGAACCTACCGAGATCTTGGTGGCCACGTAGAGCCCCAAGGAGAGCAGGGACAGGTAGAGCTGGATCCGACCCCCACCAAAACGCTTGCCCAGGTACTCTGGCATGGTCGACACCTGTCCGGACCAGTATGGACCAGTATAAACCAGTAGGGACCAGTAGGGGCCAATATGGGCCAGTAGGGACCAGTATGGCTCTTGGAGATGCTTCCAAAGACCTCCTGGTGCTTCCTCCTAGTGCTCCCAGTATGGTTCAGTGTCATCCCTAGTGGTCCCATGTGAAGGCCAGGACCAGGAGGGACCAGTAGGGACAAGTATAAACCAGTAGGGACTAGTAGGGGCCAATAGGGACCAGTATGGGGCTTGGAGATGCCTCCAAAGAGCTCCTGGTGCTTTCTCCCAGTGCTCCCAGTATGGCTCAGTATCACCCCCAGTGGTCCCATGGGAGGGCCAGTTCCAGGAGGGACCAGGAGGGACCAGTAAGGATGATTAGGGACCAGTAAGGACCACTAGGGACCAGTAAGGAGCAACAAGGAGCAGTAGGGACCAGTAAGGACCAGTATGGATCAATAGAGAGTAGTATGGACCAGTGTGGACCAGTAAGGACCAGTATGGATGAGCAGGGACCAGTAAGGACCAGTAGGGACCAGCAGGGACTAGTATGGACCAGTGTGGACCAGTGTGGACCAGAGCGGACCCATAGGGAACAGTAAAAACAAGTATGGATGAGTAGGGACCAGTATGAACCAGTAAGGTGCAGTAGGGACCAGTAAGGACCAGTAACCCCTCCCAATCCTCTCCCAGTCCATCCCAGTCCCTCCCAGTCACTCCCAGTCCCTCCCAGTGCTCCCAGTCTCACCCCAGCCCGCAGGTAGATGGGGACGAAGATCCAGCCCAGCAGTAGCACAATGAACATTCCCTGCAGGAACCACCAGGGGGCAACGTCACCCCAGAGCCCGGAAGGGGTGTGCTATGTCGAGATAGGGGGCGCTGTATCACAATAGGGGGCACTATGGGGCCAACGGAGTGTGGTAAGAGCAGTAGGAGGGCTCTATATCATGACAGGACAGTCCAATAGGGGGCGATATGAGCCGATAGGAAGCACTAGGATGGTGTTATACCGCCACCCTATGTGAGGCCGGAAGGGGGCACTATGTCACAATAGGGGGCAATAGGGGCTGATAGGGAGCGATAGGAGGCACTAGGAGGGCCCTAGAGGGCTCTATATCATGACAGGGGGGCAACTGGGGATGGACAGGGGGTGCTATGTCGTGATAGGGCACGATAGGAGGCACTAGGAGGGCTCTATATTGTGACAGGAGGGTCCAATAGCAGGCGATATGAGATGATAGGAAGCACTAGGACAGTGTTATATCGCAACAGAGGGCGCTATATTGCGACAAGGAGCGCCATATCGCAGTGGGGGAGGGGCCGTTGGGGGCGCCATATTGCAATAAGGGCGCTATGTCACGAGGATATCAGCCGACTAGGTGGGATAGGAGGCACTAGGAGGACTCCATATCGTGATGGGGGGCCGATAGGGGACGCTATGTTGCGATAGGGGGCTCTATAAGCCACTATGGGATGCCAGGTCACCTTAGGGGGCGCCATATCATGGCGGGGGGAGGAACTGATAAGAGGCGCTATGTCGTGATAGGGCCGATAAGGTGTGATAGGAGGCACTAGGACGGCTCTATATCATGATGGGGGGGCCGATAGGGGGTGCCATATCGCGACAGGGGGTGCCATATCGTGGCCAGGGGAGCTGCCGAGTGGGGGCGTTATATCACCATAGGCAGCGCTATGAGCCACTAGGGGCTGCCAGGTCACCCTAGGGGGCGCCATATCGCGACAGGGGCGCCATGCCGCGACAGGGACTGCAGGGGGCGCTCACGCTCCACTCGAAGCCTCCGACGGCGATGCCTCCGGCGGCTCCAGTCCCGGCCAGGCCCACAAAGTGTCCCGAGCCGATGTTACTGGCAAAGAGAGACGCCCCCACCTGCCCCACCCCAACAAGGGCACCAGTCCAGACCAGTCCAGACCCAGTATGGACCAGTATGGACCAGTACGGACCAGTACAGACCAGTATGGAGCAGTAGGGACCAGTATGGGCCAATATGGATCAGTATGGGCCAATAGGGGCCAGTATGGGGCTTGGAGATGCTTCCAAAGACCTCCTGGGGCTTCCTCCCAGTGCTCCCAGTATGGTTCAGTGTCACTCCTAGTGGTCTCACATGAGGGCCAGGGTCGGGGCTTCCTCCCAGTGACCAGTATAAACCAGTATGGACCAGTACGAACCATCAGGAGCCAATAGGGACCAGTATGGGGCTTGGAGATGCCTCCAAAGAGCTCCTGGTGCTTCCTCCCAGTGTTCCCAGTATGGCTCAGTGTCATTCCCAGTGGTCCCACATGAGGGCCAGGGCAAGTAGGGACCAATAGGGACCAGTATAAACCAGTATGGACCAGTACGAACCATCAGGAGCCAATAGGGACCAGTATGGGGCTTGGAGATGCCTCCAAAGAGCTCCTGGTGCTTCCTCCCAGTGCTCCCAGTATGGCCCAGTGTCACTCCCAGTGGCCCCACATGAGGGCCAGGACCAGTAGGGATGAACAGGGACTAGTAAGGCCCAGTAAGGCCCAGTAGGGAACAGTGAGGACCAGTAATGACCAGGAGGGACCAGTAGGGACCAGT